AATGCCTTCAGTGCCAAAGAACTGAAGAAAGAAAACTTTTGGCTATTGAAAAAAAAAAAGTGTGTATTATGGGCTCAGGAATGGGCATCACTTGACAATGCACCTCTACTCACTCAATATAAAGTATTACATACCAATTTTTTTAGACTGCATTTTTGCTTCAAGTAGAATTTTCTTCCAGAATCAGAAATAAAAGCCATGTCTTCTCTTTTTATCTCAGTCTCCTCTCTCTCAGGCATATGGAACAGACATTACAGTACAGGATTGTGCTACATGTAAAAGTAATCCTTGTACCCTGTTTGATGAAGGTGCTACGGTTTATTTATGTGGCTGTTTCTGTGTCTGATAAGACATTAACTTATTATCGCAAAGATCTCACATCCCACTGATAGTAGTGGAAATTGAATATTACTATTTTAAGGTTAAAATTCCAATATATATCACATAGGAAAGTGAAAATAACTGAAATATGGAAATACAAAATGTGTTTTTTCCTAGTATATTAGATTTTTGTACTCTGAAGACCAGTCTCTTTTTTACTGGAAGGCCAATTGAACTTCAGTTGCCTCAGAGACAAGAGATTACTCTTTGGGGGCAGAAAGGTCAGGTACTGCCTGTCCTGTTTCTTTTCCAGTACAGTACTTCCCTCCACTCTGCCTTTAGTTGACCCTACACTTACTTTCAAATGTCAGTCTTTTCCATCCTCCCTACTCCATCAAAACTTTGATCATTTTGAAGAGATTGATTAGAGTTCAAGTGCACATTAGCAAGCATGGTTGTAAATATAAAAAATGTCAGTCTTGCCTATAAAATTGAAATATGAAGCAAACTCTTAGGGGGGAAAAAAAGAAAAAAGAAAAACCAAAAAACAAACCCAAAACTTTTATGCATAAGCACAGTACAAGATATATCATATCTTTAATGAACCTGTGCATTCCATCTTCTTTTTGAAGAAGTTGGGTAGTAGAACATGCTAGAGCCTTGAAGAAACAGCAGGACACATGATACTAGTTACATGAGCATTATAAATGAAAAAATGTACTTTAAGACTGTGTTATAAGCTGTTTACTTTATCTTACACACACACCCCTCTTCATTTTTACATGGAACACATTTATATCTTGTATGTGTGTATATCCTTGATCGACTTCCTGGTTTCCAAGAAACATGTTGTATTTACAAGTGTATGATGCGTTTAACTTGTTGGGACTTGTGAGCAAGCATGATAGTTATGATTAGGTAAATGTTATGAGTTCACTACTTGTGTTCTGTGGAAGAGGAATAGAAAATGGTATTTGGCAAAAGCAATATGAAGACCTGACCAGTGGATGCTGTAAGTGATGTTCACTGTCATGTAACAAAAGGGTGACTGTTGCTTGGGTCTGAAAGAGATAATTATACATTGAGGGAGAAAAGTTGGAGAATTACAGTTACTGTATAAAAGTCGTCAGTATTACGTCATGTCACAATTCAAAAATGTTCCATTGCAACAGCACATACAGTGTTCTTGTCTAGGGAAAAATTATTTTGGGTACAAAACTTGCCTCTGGCAATTGCCCTTTTTATGACCATTGTATGGTTTTGCCTTAATTGGACTAAAATACTTATACTGCAGGTCAAGATTATCTACTTGGATAGTCAGCTCTATTTGTCTGTCTTTGGTTCAAAAGGAATCAGTAGTCATTCAGCATTTCCATTACTAGTTTGATACCAATATGAATTTAAAACTTCATTTTCCTAAAGAAAGATTGTACTGGGTTCCCCAAGTTTCTTCTGCATGGAAGATATTTTTGTCTGGAATTAACCTGGAATTCTAAGATTGCAAGCCTATGGATGTTCATTCTTATTTAGTTACATGACTCTTGCCTATTTCATTTGTCAAATCAGGAGCATGCTTTCTATTCCCCCCACTCCCTCCCAGGAAATTCATGCATACAATATGTACCTGGATGGAAGGTGAGTGTGACAATATAACCGCATGATTTTGATTGAGTCAGTGTCTTGCCTACAGATTCTTAACTTTTCATTCTAACTTCTCTTGGCTTAACTTGTTCTTAATCTTTCATTTTGACTTCAGTACAGGAATTTTTATAAGAAGTGATGATTTTAGCATGGCAGAGTCCTTCATCGCTCTATCCGTTTATTCAAATGGCAGAATGAACTGAACTGCTTGGAGTACAGTGGAGGAAGGGAAGCCACACACCAGATAACATAGCAAAGGAATTGCACCTTCATTTGCCAGATGTCTTCTGTTTTCTTGGCCAGGCAGAGGAAGACTGGAACAGTGAGGTTTCCTCTCTAATTTTCTTGCAGTCTTCAGAGCCTCTTTTTTTTCACTCCACCCTTCTTGTAACTGAGCAACTTGAACTGATTTTTTAGGAACCCACAGATATCATTCTGGAGGTCAGAAAGGAAATATTTCATTTGAGGTTGAATTGACAGAGGTTTGTGATGTTTTGTAATTTTTGCTGCATCCTTGATAGAATAATAGGTTTAAGAACAAAGCAAAACCCACAATGTAGCTGGGGCGCCTCAATCTCTTGATATTTTGAAGACTCAGTCTTCCTCCCACCCCGGGGCCTGTGGTACCACTGTTAATGTACAATGTTGAAAACTACCAGACAGAGTAATAATCTTCAAGGTGCTCTCTGAAGGAGTTATTCTTCCAAAGACCAGCTCATTTATTAAGTATTGCAGGTATGTGTGGCTGTGGCCTCAGTGATGTAACATAAGGAGCCTTATACCTGCTTGAAGTTTTAAGACTTCTTTTGTCTTTGTCTTGTCTTCACTGCCTTAGGTTTGTGATCTGTCCTTCAGCCTGAAGAAAATGCTGATCCGACACAAGCTGACTCACAACCCTAATCGACCGATGGCAGAATGCCAACTTTGCCACAAGAAGTTTACAAGAAACGACTACCTCAAAGTGCACATGGAAAATGTCCATGGTGAAACTGATAGCTAATTATGGCGTGTGTGAGAAGAATGGATCTCACGTTCCAAAGTGCTCCATTTGTATGTGTACGAACTCCAGACCTCTCACCTGACTAGTAAGCATAGTCAGGAGAAACAACTGTAATGTGTACACATGTTATTTTTCCCCACTTTTTTTTAATATACTAGTAAGATACAAGACATTCACCTGAAGTAAAACATAGCTTGAAAACAAAAAGTGGAAGATAAAAGACCTTTGGGAAAATTTTATCCTCATGTAAAAAAAAAAAAAAGGCAACAACAAAAAAAGCTTTAAGCAAACTTCACCTTCTCAATTAGAGCCTTAGAAACTTAGATATTGGTGGTATTACCTGGAAATCCTGGACATTGGGAACTGAACCTTTGGCTGTCTGCAACTCTATTTCTGTATTTGAGTTTTAAGATGCTATTAAAATTCTTAATTTGAAACCACAGAGAATTTGTCAAATGATTGACTGCTGTTTGCATCCAGTCATATTTTATTCAGATCTTAGTTCTACATTTTGTTATAACTTGATTTTTTGTCTCATTTTATTTACAGCTTTCTCATTAATAGATTAAATTCATTAACTTGAATTGATTCTTGAGACGCCAAAATGTATGGGTACAGAAACTGTGGAAATCCGTCACGTTAAGTATTTCTGTATGAGCATTGGGGAGGATGTATTTTTTCTGGTTACATGAAACAAGACTGAAGTGAAAACTTTGAGCAATTTAGTTTAAGTACTATATTCATACTCATCATTGTGACTGGCAAGGCAAGTGGAAAGACATCTTATGCACCGTAACAACAAACTAACAAGTTTACAGGTCTCCTTCCCATTTACAAGGAAGTTGTACACTCAAGTTTACAGGTTCCCTTTCTTAACAAAAGTTCACTTACTGCTAGCAATTCTAACAAGGTTGATCAGGGACAAGCAGGAGCTGTCATTGTTTCCAGCATTACAGAAAACTTTGAAGTGATATCTTCCTGTTTATTTCAAAGGTCCTTGGCTCAAGTTACATATGACTAGTTAGGCTTGAACGAGCCACTTGCAAGATTTCTGCAGTCAAAGGGAGTAACCTTCAGCACTATCTGCAGGTTGGAAACTGGAATCCAGTGTCTGCTGGGCTAATCTGAATTGAAAAAAGGATTAAAGCATAGTAAAGCAACAGACAAATGGTGTGGACCGTAATGTAATTGTATCAAATAGACCACAGCAGTTACACTGATGTAAATTTGTATGAAGAGAATCCTGGAGAAGACCTGCATATGGAGAACCCAGTTTCGTATAATGTTCTGTAATGTATCGGTTCAGTGTGAAACAAGTGGCTTAAGTGTTACACTGGTGTGTGACAGAAAAGTGTGTCACTACATGTATGTGTTATGTAATTTGGTGTTCTGTAATAAACTTTGTTATTTTTAATTTTAATTAAACATAGAACTTATTTTCCTATAATTTTAGTATTTTTTGCAGTATTTGTTTTGAAGGCAAACTGCATAGCTGATGTTTTATGAATTATAATTATTCAGTAACACTTGAATATTCTATTGTGTTCAGTTTGCCTATTGAAATGCATATATTCAATTGTTTAGGATTCCTGCAGATTCTGAAATGTAATTATGAATATTTCACTTGTTTGTGACGATTGCCTATGTATAAAAGCTTACTAAGCCATCTGCATGCCATTTTTGTTTCCAGAGAGGTACATGAAACTGGGTCTTTGCCAGTTCCATACGAATCATTTGTTCGTATAGATCAAATATATTGTATGTGTGTAAGACAAATATAGTAGAATTAGGCCGAATACTTCCTCTCGTTATTTGGAGACGTTTTGTTAGAGTTTATCAGATTAGTATATTTCTAAATCCAGAGAACTTTAACTTATTGCTACAGTTATTATAACAATTAATATAATGTAAGCGTTCAGGTAGCAATACTGAGATGTCTGATGGTGTTTTAACTATATGTTCTTAATTATCTGCAAGGAGAAAAGCTAGACATATTCCTGAAATAGCATGTAGTCACTGCAATTTTAGAAGGCTGTGATTTCCACTGCGCCCCCCCCTCCCCCTTACATTGTATAATTTTCTGCAGATCATAACATTCAATTTGTTCTCTTTATTTTTCCATTACAGTTGACCCCTCTTGGAGAAAACTCCATCTCTGATGTTAGGAACAACAGCAGTCTTGCTAGTTCCTTTTGCTTTCCTTTCTGATTGGATATACAGCCAAAAGCTGATATAAATTGTTAATATGAGAAATATCCTTCGCACTTGCTAATGTTATAATTCTGTTTATATGATTGTGAAGGGTTTGATACATCCTCTAATTTACACAAGCAAGTCCTAATTAGCAATCAGACACAGGTGGAAATAGTGTAAGTAACATGTGTTAGGCATTTTATGTCCTTATATTTGAATGCACAGACATAGTGTAGTCAAAGCAGTTTCTACGTTCTGTGAGTTAATTTGTGATGTTGTTGTAAGAATGTGTTTCTTGTCTATGTTTTAAATTGCAACCTTTAATGCTCTGCATTTGTGTCAATATCTACCAATACTGTTATTCTTTAAAGATCTCCAACTATAGTTTTATTTTAATTTTTCAGTTTAAAAGACATAGCATAATAGTCCCTCTAAAGCATCACTTTTAGAGGTAGAGGAACTCAGTGTGCTGTTGTCAGTGTATGATCAGGTTATAATAAAACATTTTAAGTTCAGTTACATACTCATTGCACAAAAGTATAGGGATTCTCTTCACAGTGAGATTTGGAATCTGCCTATTTGTTTTTTTAGGCTAATGTTAGTTCAGAATATGATAGCACTTACAGCTGTAAAGCTGTGTTCTTGAACGTGTTTGAATTCTGACAGCTTATTTTTGACTCTTGTACATACCGTGGCACATCAAGAAGATGGAGTAATTTAAGGATGTGCAGTAACAGCTGAAAAGTTGTCACTGATAAACAGTTTCCTTGACCTGGAAAATTAAGTGTTGTACGTTTCAACCTGGGACTGTCAGACTTAATTTTATTTAATAGTTATTGTCTATCTTTTTTAGTCTATTTTATTTGCCATTCCCTCCTAAGCTGCTACTGAATCTGTAATATCTGGTGAACAAAGGCAGACAGTATACTGGCAAACTCAGTGTTTGCAAAACATTTGCTGCTATGCTGTGTCACTTTCACTGAGCCCGATTTGTCATCTTCAAGTAGCATGGCTCTTTGAGTTTCCTAACCTCAGCTACCTCTCATGTTACAACAGGAGCATGATCAGAGGCTGTGCATGACATATAAACTGTCATCACCCTCCAGTGATGAAAGAAACCGGTGGAAACAACTGCCCATGTCACAAGTGGAGGAGAGCCTTGATGGTCCATTTGTCTCCGTGAACTCCAGCTGAGGTAGGCAAGAAAATATTGTCGAATCTCCATCACTGCACATGTACGGGGCCTGATCACCTCAGAAAAATCTAGGTAGTAAGATGGAGGAAGAGTGAGATGGTAGAAATCTATGTGGTAATATGTTTTGATGCCTGCCTTGAAAGTGGTGACAAGTGCTTTGTAGCTTAAATGAAAACAAACCCCCTTTGATTTGAGTGTGTGGCAGGAGTAGGCAAGAAGAGCGTTATAGAGAAGTATGTTCATTTTAAACTGGAACTTTAACTACTTTTGTTGGAATTATGATTAACACAGTCATTCTGCACTGACTGTGCAATGATTGGTTGTAACCGGAGTCAGCTGAGTCCTGAGAGGTTCTCACTGCTCTCAGTCTTTGTGTGTCCTGAGTAGAATGGGATTTTGATAAATTACATAAGCGGTATGTCTTAGAAATGTACCTGAGATGCATTGTACATACAAACTGAAACTGTTTAATTCAAGTAGATAATTTAGATGCCTGCCACCTTTCTCCTGTATACACCTGAAATCTTAGATGGGCTGTTTTTGAAGGAAGAAAACTAAACCTCCTGGTGACTGTGAGGTCCTTCCAACAACTAACCTGAAGAAAACTTGGAGTTAGGCATTATTCTTCAATTTAAGAAAGAGAAAAGTAGTAAGAGTTGTCACCTAGGTTTTTGAAATGGCATGATTTCAGAAACGTTTCACAGACAGGTATGCATGCATATGCATAAACTGTTATATAGGTCAGATATATAAAAGACAGTGTAGCCTGAAAAGGTGAGATCACAGTTTTTTAGAACTCTGAAGACTGATTCTGTGTATGCTCCTGGAAATCAGTGTAATTTAAGTAAACTTTGGAATTTGGTTCCATTCTTAAGGTTAATCTTAACAGGATGTCCTGGTAAGCAGGAGCTCAATTCTGTACAAATACAAGCATAGATGGAAATCAGTTGATCATTGAGTCAATAGAATCATTTGAGTGCAAGTAAGAATTGAAACCTTTATCTTTAAAACAAATTATGTTTAGCTTAGAAGACGTTTTAATAGAGCCATGGCTTCTGAGACCTTTTTACTCTCTGGAACAAGCATGAGGCCCAGGAGAGAAGGTGTCTGAGCAACTCCAAAGCATGCAGGTGTTCTATTCCAGGATCTGCTTGTTGACTGCCACTGGGACAAACTGCTATATCTCTCTTTTCCTCTTTCTCTGTCATCACGGTTTTCTTCCTGATTAGCCTCTCAGCTCTTCAAGACAAAATATCTCTCTTCTGCTTATATAGCCACTTGCGCGTGCCTTTGCTTAGTTGCTGTACTGAATGTAGTACTGATAATAGGATCATGGCTTGAGAGTTACTAACAGGGTAGTAGGACCTGATGGGGAAACCAGTATTTGAGGACTGTGAATTTAATGTGGCTACAAATAACCAGAAAATGTCCCAGTTTTAATTCACTATTTCTTTTGTTTAAAAAAAATACATTAGAACAACAATCAGACAAAACTGTAGCCTTTTATTAATATGTCAGGTCGGTTCTATATAAGATTAATTTCCCATAAACCATATACATGTTGAATCACAAACAAATACATGGTTAGCTATGGTG